CCGGCTGCACGCACGAAAAAACATGACTCATGCGGCGTTACCTCGCTCTGAGGCGTTCCATTTAAGGCTTGAAGTGCAAGCGAGAGCGCGGAACGAGCGACAAAGAGGCACAATCGGCCTCCGCGTTCGGCAGCGTTCGACATCTGTCTCTCTCCTACTTGAGTGAGCGATGCGTCCGCGTGGACAGCTGCTATACAATAATACATTTCCATTTACCTCCTTCTCTATATCCATACAAAATATCTATCAAACAAATAAAATTAAAATTTTCTTTTGAAAAATGAAACCATTCCATCAGTATTTTCTTATGACGTTGTCACGTTCAACTATCGTCAGTAAACCGACTTTACAGACAACCGATTTTTTTTTTCCTAATGAGCAAGTAGTAGAAAGAATAGGAGAACAGAGGCCATTATAGAAGTCAATATGATATAGGCGAGATAGCTTGGTAGGACACCTTCTCAGACATGAAGGGCTAGTTAGAGACATATTAGCAGCAGAAATAGGATTAAAATGGAGTAGAAGTAGAGCTAGATTACATTACTTTTCCCAAATACATAATTATGGGTGTGAGATGTTCTAGTTTCAGGGAAATGCAAAGATTAGCTTAGGGTAGGAAAAAGTGGATATGCGTGTCCAACCAGTTCTAGAACAATTAGGCTATTGTTCCACGTTTTCTCCTTGGTCCATAGGGCATGCTGCGATCATCGGTTTCTTCAAAACATTGAATCTCACTATTACCAAAGTTTTATTTAAAAAGTAGATAAATCTCAGCTGTTTTCATCCCGGAGCGGTTGTATCATTAAGTTAAGCTTGCACAGCATCATTAATACTTAATTAAGACCACAGCCGAAATGTATAAAACACTTTGAAATTCATCATCTTTAAGAATCACTAATCCTACGTTTTAAAGAAGAGATCGTTAATATCGATTGATTGGTTGGCGAGAATATTAGCTTTGAATGTATTACTTTTATGGTGCTGCGTTAATTTTGATGTGTGGTGTAGGTATTTACGTAGATATATCCACCTAAAATTTAGTAAGATGTTTCCAGATTATTTCAAATGAGTTTTATCATTGGTGTATTTTTTTGTCGATAATTAAGGATTCCGCTTTTCAGATTAGATAAATTATCAATACATTTACAGGCCCTCATGAAATTGCGCGTGCTTGTGATAATGTAAATCCGCTTATACAATACTATTGTACTATCAATAAACGCAAATCCATGATGAAGATTTATTAGCAATTTTAAAATTCTTAATAACGTCACGTATTCCGTTCATTGCTTCTATATTAAACTGGTGTCAAAGGTCTGAAAAATTTTTGTAAGAACGTATGGACTAATCCAAGTAGGCCAAGTAGCCTAGCAATTAAAAGCACCGTGGTTAAGTACGAAAAAAGCCAATTAAATAATAAATAATAGCAAATTGATTGATTTTTCTGAAACGACCATTATTTAGACGACAACAATGTAAAATTGTTGCTTTTATGGTATCCTATGGTAAGATGAACGAATGTTACAAATAACTTTTGCATTCTGTATAAAATGCGTTCTTGATTATTTGGATAATTGTGGAATACGCAATTTCTCAATAATAACGTTACTATATCCCGTTTTAGGGCTTGCAATTAGATGTATTTAGTTGAGGAGATTGAATCCACTGCTTTGTTTAAATTATTTATTTTATTTAACTGTAAAATGATAAATGTATAGNAGTTACGGAGCTAACTCGTAAAAAAAATATATCATTCCCAACCCTCTGCTGATTGGTAGGTGTTTTCTTTGCGCGTCAATTCCCTAG